TAGATAAAACTCTTCAACTGGTTATTTCGAAAATAAAGTTTTTGCTTTTTACTTCTCCAAGAAACTTAATAATGTATTTTGTGAAATACTAAACATCGGTTATAAAAATAATACTGGCACAATTACATATATCATGTACGTTGTACTCGATGTTATTTAATAGTTTAAATTAATGGTAACATATTTTACACAACTAGAAAATTTTTTTATCTCAACTTTTAATCTCAGCAAATTCTTATATTTTTTCTTCTTTCTCCTAATACAATGCAGATATTCGAATTCTGTAATTCTTACTTTTTTTAAATTTTAATTCAAATTCTATTTAACAAATACAATGTTATTTAATTTCAAATTAAGTGCACATATTTTTTTCATAAATTTTAAGTCAATGACAGGATTCGATCAAATAACCCTGTCATGTGAATCGAATGCACTACTAAGTGAGCTATGCTTGCCACCCATGGCTTTTAAATTTGTGGAATTCAATTTTTGACTCGTAACATCATAGAAGCGACACAAATTATGACTATTATATTTTTCAAAACCTTGATGAATTTTTGCTCAAAAAATAGTACAAAACATAAATACGAATAATGCCAAATAATGACGGGTATTTAGTTACCCTAAAAGTAGTACGATGATAACAAATCGTGTCTGCCTCAATTACAAATTTTCTCCGTCAAGAATATTTGATTATCACGTTGGTCATTTCGTTATTCTGGGTGGAAAGTTTGCAATGCCCTGCGAAACAGCGGCAGGTGTCCTTAAGCACCGCTGTGTTGTTTATGGCCCCAGATAATGGAACCGAAGGCATAATAATATTGTAACTCGCTGCGCCGAAGTATCGTTTCGACGCGTCGTTTTCCAACACAAATACACGTTTTTTATGTAAACTCGCGTCCAAATAAAAACAAAACTTCTAGAATGAAGTGTCAAAAGTTGGTAAAGTTCAAGATAATATAAAACCAAGCATAAACCTCAGAACTCTAACGAAAACTCGAATGAGGTATTAAATGTCATACATTGTAATTTATGCAAGTTCAGGTACAAATTGTAGCTCATCAGTAAAGTTTTTATACAATGTCAGATTATTCTTGAAACAAAGAATTATGGTTTCATTTGATCTAATTGATTGCTTGTTTATATTGTCTAAATACGACAATAATAATTTACTAATGTCATGAGGTTGTTATCACACTTACAATAAGAACTGCATACAACTTTTCCTTACTCATTTATCCTAAAATTTGAAACTTAATAAATGTTGTACTATACTACTAATCAAAATTCCACGTTTTTTAAAAAAAGTATTTATTTTCATCGTTTTATGATAGACTTACTCGGCGATATGACGACTACCATGTTTAGGTTGTTAATATTGTTAATTATGTTAATATAGTATTTGAAATTTTAAAAATAGTTTTCGAATTTGAATTTAAATTTGATGAATTTTGTGTTTGTTTTAATCTGTTCAAATTTAAACTCGTTTTTAAATTGAAAAAAAAAAAACTTGAATATTCTTTGGTAATAGATACATTAATTATTCTGGTAATAATTTTATGGGCAGTTCTCTAGCTTTTATACATACGTATCTGGATCTGGAAAATATAAGTTAAGAATTCAGAAGATTAGTCTTGTAAAATTCTAATTCGCAAGTAATTTCAAGAACAAGTTATAAAATTTAATAAGTTGTACAAAACTCCGAACATGTCTATAACATAGATATGTTCGTTCGTAAGATCGCAATGTAGTTTATAAAATTTGTATAACCTGAGAATTTTTATAGCAGGTTCATTTAATTCGGGACTGTACTAATGATAACATGTATAAAATTGTACATAAAATATCACTAGAGCTTTTAACTACATGTATGAACTTTTCTTACTTATCAATGGGTTCAATTTTATTTAATATAATCACTTAAGTGATACATAATAATTAACTTTTTTTAAATGAAATAAATCAATCATTTTGATGTGTAGAAACATTCATTTTTAGGTCCTAAAGTTTCTTTTTGAACCTAACTTTTTTTGGGACGTTTTTCCATCTTTTCAGTACTTTTGCTTTAATAATTTCAAATAGGCAAAGGTCACAGAATAGAATTCTTAAAAAATATTTGATGAGGCCAATAATTTTCTACATTGGGTGATCCACCAAGACTCCAATATATATACAGTAACTGAAGAAATCAGATATCTTGGGTTATACTTGCATCCAAATACAAGACAAAATTGGAAAATTATCCGAATCTTTCCAAAGACTTGCTTTCGTCAACATTACCAGAAGACTTAAACCCATTAGATTAAGCATAATCAACATGTAGTCATTATCATTTTTTTTTTGTAAAATTTTTCTATCTCTTTTTCAAACTTAAAATGAATATCAATTGTTACATTAATATTATCTCACACACTAGTCAACAAAATGAAATTTCAAAAAAAAAATCAAATCGGCAGGACTTGTCTTCACCAACAAACGAGCAGAATATAATATTAAAAAAATCAAAATGAAGAATATCAGAAAAAATTGCAAATCTAGAGTTTCATGAAGCTTCCACTAAATTGGTTCGTCCATTCTTCACAAAACGTCCTGGATCTTTCTTGGGCGTGCCTAAAACACCATTTAATTTTGAAACAAAAATACATAAATGAATGAACAAAACAAATAAATCAATTGATCCTTGATTTATTGATCCTGAAAGTCAATATTTAATATAAAAAGTGAAAATGGGCAGTACCTTATGGCAGGTATGTGAGCTGAGTTAAACTCCAGAAGAATTGTGTAAGAGATCTCTCATTGCCATTTTACACTGCAATGCTCCAATGGGCTATTTAGAAGTAGAAACATATTTTTGATCTATATTTTTAAGTGAAAACAAGACATTGCAACTGCATGATGTCAGGTTATCAAAAGTCAGGTTATAAAAAGGAATCTTTTACTATTACAGTTTTAACCTTTTCGACTCGGATGCCGCCGCCCCGGCGGTAAAATATATATTAATTATGAAATGAGCGAGTGGAAAGGGTTAAATTTATACTAATGAAACAAACTAATATTGTTTCGAATTTTGACTTTATGATTTGTGTAAAACGAACGTCGTGTGTCATAATCCGTTCAGAATAGCTAGCAGCACTCATAGCCAGTATTGTGCTTATTAAGTGCAATAATTAATACAATTAGAAGTTTTGCATTGAGCCCGTGTACCTCTGCTAATGAAGAACAGTTAGAGTATTACGCAGTCACCTCGGAACTGTTATAAACTCATAAATATACGCCAGCTTACACATTCGCTAATCACGCTGCGAAAACTGCATTTCGTTTCGAATCCGAACGATAGCACATATTCCAATTAAAATTATTTATGACGGTTAACGTTAGACAAATTAAGGCATATCAAATTTAACATGAATATAGGAGTTAAATATACTTGCAAGTATATTCAACAATTGATGGAAGCGTGTTTTTGTCCTATTTTTTACTAAGCTAATAATTACGCGGTTAATGTCTAAAAATCGACACTCAATCTGTTTGCCCTTTTCTACATACGTCCATACATTTTTTGATAAGAAAAATGTTTTGGGTTAATAGGGTTTCTCGAAATTCTCATGTTATGTGGAATATATTAGACCGATTAAACCGCATAACAGACCAATGTTATGCCAAGGCTTTATTATGAAGAACTTTCCATACAAATTCGTTCTAAGTATTGACAAAAGCCATGTGGTTGCTGTGCCGTCAGGAGTTTTTTTCAGGTTGTCACATAGAAAACCTAACCTAAAAACCGCACACATGTAAAAAAAAACGATTTTAAATAGCAGGGCCTTTCTGACCCAGTTTCATAACATACGAGTCAAGTTGCAGTTTATGTGTAAAACGCCTTATGCAGAGCAAATAAATGACATTTTGACAGTATACAGTATAATTCAGTAGCATAATGAATGGAAGTTGGAGCATAACATGGTCTTGCCATATCATTGGTCCGTTGTGCGGCGGAATCGACCCATAAGTGAAAGGGGCAGCTAGCACAAATTATATGGTAGATTTATCTACTGCAAAGCATGCCACATATAAATGTTCATAGGGCATATTGATTGTCATTGCAAGTGCCAGCCTAATCTCAAACTGATATCATTTAAATTGAATTGCACATTTAGAGATTAAAGGTTTTCATATATTATTGTCGCGTTTTTCACTAATTTATTTAAATTTAATTATCAAGCAAATGCCGAACATTCATGTTTGAATTATGTTCTGGTATGTTTAGCAAATCAAGAGCCATTTCAAAAACTATGAAAAAAATACCACATTGCCATAGGTTTCATACCCAGTGACTTCTAAAAACAGTTCATATCTTATCTAAAAACATCTCCATATTTTATTATTTATTTTGTTTTAATTTTCCATTACAAAAAAAACAAAATAAAAAATTAATCCTAAAATTTAAAATAAAGTGTTAGGGGTAGACAACCCTTAATTATAAAATTTAGTTTTTTAAACTTAAATATAAACTTTTCCATAAGTTTTAAAAAATATTAATAGAAATTCAATGAAAAACATTCATTGACTGAAAACTGGGTGAAACATAATTTGATTACTAACATTGCTGTTACGAAATTGCGGTAGGAGGGTAAAAATTTAGGGCTGCATGTAATTTTTCATTACCAATAATAAATATATAGCATAATAGAAATTGGTCGAAAAAATAAAAAAAAATCCTAAAGTCGGCCAACCCTTACCACTTAGGGATATGAAAAAGAGATATTGTCTGATTCTCAGTCATACTGAACGCGAGTACAAAATTCCGTAAAAATCGGTCAAACCATTTCGCAGAACTACCTAAACTTGATGTGCTTGAGCTATTATATGAAGTCTTGAGTATATTATTTTATATTAATTCATTTCCAGAGGTGTAAACGGAAACATAAGTAGAAGTAATTGCCTTTTTGCGCAAGGCAAGTTGTTGCTTGGACTTTCTGATATCTAATACCTGGAAATAATCGAGTAGATCAACAAGAATTGATTTCTAGTGAATAGTTTTTGAATTTCTTAAATTGAGAAAACAATCATGTAAGTCTAATGCATTACATATAAATATCAGCTATTTATTAAATAGTTCTCTAATTTTCTGAAATAATTGAATCAACCATTTTGAATAATTAAAAAAAAAATCGATTCGTATTGATGTTCTACTCAATTCCTTTTAGAACTTTGCAATTAATTGCATATAACACAACCGTCGTGGTTTATTGGTAAAGAACGTGGACCAGCATAAACTAGTCCCAGGTTCGATCACAATTTCGGCCACCAGGTCGATATCAAGCAGTATAACACCAAATTAAGGATATAGATCTTACATACAATCTCAAGTGAAATTATCGCTGAAACATTTTCTAGTTGCAGTAAATTTGTTATCATACCGTTTATACCTTTATCTGATGAGTTATTTTAAAATACGGTATGTTATAAACATTATAGAAAAGTGACCGCACAATGCTCGTACATTTACTTCATTATTAATAAGAACGTGTGAAAGCGAGAATAAGCGTACAAGATCGAGTTTTTCACAGTTGTTTTTTCGATCAATTTTATAAACAAGAATATCTATCAGAAGCATTCGTCTTTTTAAACTTTATTTGCGTCGATAGAAATGGGACGATGTTCAGATTAAATCTATGATAAGTAGAGAATATATTTGTAGCACCAAATTCAGAAAATTATTTCAATTGATGTACTTAACATATTTATTAAAACTTTACTTTCAATTGGTTCATCAATAACGTATTCAAAAAAATTAACCAAAGTTATAAGTTGTAACTATCTATAAACTAACCAATTAATAATGTTCACATAAAAAAGATCTTTCCAGAAAATATTGTTTATATATTTATAATTATAAAATTACAACAAAGTATGTTATAAGCTGCATCACACAAAAAAATATAATTTAAAACACAAATTTGCGCTTTATATAATTATTAAAACTATTAACAAAGCAGTAGAAAATTAGCTTGCATTCAATGATTATTTTTTTATAATTACCTTGATGCAGTACCAAGGTAACAAAAATGTAATGTAGATTTTAAAACGTTTTAGTGCAATTTTTAATTAAAAAAAAGGAAATATCATAAAGAGGTATATGTTATAAATATAGTTCTATGGCAATTTATATTTTGATATTTATTTTACTTTTAGTAGAGTAATTTTAGTAGTTACTTTCTTGTGCTGCAAAAACTGGGCATAAAAATCAGGATTAAAAATACACATTATCTTAAAGTTTCTTAATCTTTTCGACATCTTGGCATACTCTAAAAAAATGGATGCATGTGAGTGTGTGCGCGGATACAATTTTTAATCTACGATTTTGAGAGCACGGATCAACCGATTTAAATGATTCAAAAAAAAATTTGATTTCTATTGATGTTGTTTGAGACGTACTTAGTTTTTATCAAACCAACCGTCTCGAAAACGTGGGGCAAAAAGTGCCAAAAATGGTAATTCAGTTTTTGAAGCAATGTAGCGTCAGTTTTGAATTATTCAATAAGCATTTTACTGTAATGAATAATATAAATAGATAGATAGGAAAGAAATAAACAACCGATTTGCCGGGATCCAGTGGTTTTGGAGATCCAATGAAAAAAGTCAAAAGAGCCATTTTGAAGGCGGTTAAATGAACATGTCTAGCACATGAAATTATCCTATATTTTATAAAAATTTTAATAATAAGTATATATTTTGTTTGCATTTCCATGGGTTTTGTTTTATAAAATTCATTTTTTTTTAAATTTCAAAATATAAAATAAATTCTTATTTTACTAAGAAAGTCCAACTTTTACAAAATTCTCAAAAAACTAATTGTTTCCAAAAATCTTAAAGCTTTAAAAAAATTTAAATTGCGGTACCTACGGGAAGTTCTAACGTTTGATGAAATGAAACTAATAAACAATAAACATGATAAAATCACAATCTGATCTCTTAAATCAAATCTAGTAATATAAGTTTCAAATTGTGTTGTAGTAACAATCGAAGTATCTGCAATATAACTGCAAATAATTGTAAATTGCATTATTTCTGATTATATGTGTTGTTGGCATCTATTTACGAGTTGGATGGAATAAAGTAGAAGTAGTTTGTATCATCGCGAACGGGTTAGGCACGGGTCTTCTCATATTCCGTATGATAACCGATACATATACGATTTTACAGTATAAGCTCTTATTTCTTGCATGACGTTTGATTCGCTTCATTCAGATTACATGAAGGTAAAATGTACAGGAGAAGTCTATAGTTTTGATAAAATGCAATTATTACTTGGGCTAAGCTAAAGTTTTGCTGTACTACACTGACGTGTCACAAAGCTTATGAATAAAATATAGCAATATATAACAAAATATATTTTTTTTAAACAATGTTACCAAGAATTCTTTTTTTTATTCAATTTTTATTTTTCTTTCGCTTTCGTATTTTGTCCTAGTTAAGTTGGATCTTTTTTTTGGATTTTGGATTCTTTTTCCTGTATAATCTTCACCCGAAAAGAACAAGAAATTCATGTCACAACCGTAGCCACAAAATTTGTCACAACCGTACCCAACGCATGCATTTGAGAACAAATAATCTAAATCATATCTAAATCAAATACTTATTGCTCGATTACGACTACTAATATTTAACTTACAGCAAAAAGTGATTCACCTGTAAACAATTAACAGTTATTAATAGAAGAATTCAAACATCAAAACTTACTTTCACTAGATCATATTAATGTAGGGCACTGACTAAAAGCAATAATGTGAACTTGTTCGACCAATCATACTTCATTTTTCTCTTTTTGGGACTCTATCTCAAAATCAGCATAATTTAGCTTTTATGACCACTGTCACCACCAACTCTGTATGTTAACTATTTTAAAATTATAAAGTAAAATTTTCATAGATCTAACTCAGTTTCTATAACTAATCTGCAAATATTTAATCGCAACAGATCATCATTCTTATTCTTTTATATGCAGATGGTGTAAAACACCAATCTGAAATTCTGTTAGTGTAAAACACCAATCAGAACTTAAAAGCCCTTTTTAAAGTACTTTTCTTATTTTTTAAAGCTCTATTTCTGATACTGACGACTTTGGCTGATCAATTCTGCCGTAAAATAGAGCAATGTTATAGCAAGGCTATGTTACGCTGCTCGTTTCATATGGTACTGAAAATTATCAAAATGCTATGTATTTGCTATGCAATCAGGCGTTTTACACGTAAAAACCTAACTTCTTGCATGTATTATGACACATAAGAAAGATGCATAAGAATCTTTTTTGAAATTTGTGCGTTATCTAGGTTAGGTGTTGTATCTAAAACACCTGACTGATACATAAAAAAACAAAAGAGAAAGGAAAAGAAACATTCAATACAAGAAAAAGAAGTGATGTTATATATTATTATATTTTATTTAAAGTATAGCAAAACATTTAGAGTTAGACAGTTTTAGTACCATTTTATACGAAAAACGCAGCGTAATATAGCCTTTCCATAACATTGGTCTATTTTACGGCGGAATTGGCCGGTAATCATAATATAGCAAAGTCTGTGAAGTTTCTCACATAGAATTTGGAAACATATTTTCAACTTCCCGTAGGGCAAGTTACTGTAATCGCAAAAAAATCGAAAATGAAAATTTTTATATATCTTTACGTTTCAAAGGTTTCTGAATATTTGCGTGTGTGTGTGTGCGAATACAAATTTTCGTCGACGATTTCGAGAACACGGATCAACCGATTCAAAAAAACATACGCACATCAAAATATCTGATATTTTATAGAGATTTTCATAATGTGTACACATTTTGTGTAAATTTGTTTGGGTTCCGTATCAAGATTTTTGATTACGGTACGGGAAGTTGCAGCAATTTGCCTTAAGGCACGATGGCATGCACCCCACTAGTTATCTATATTTTATGACTCTAACTGTAAAAAACTTGCATGAATAGCCTGGATTTAACTCTCAAATTGAGAACTTTTTAATATGTTGTGTCGAGTCTTATTCTGTATCCGTATAAGTATTAATATACTATGATCAAAATAAAACCAACGATCATGTAGATTTAGTACGTGTATCTGAGAGAAAATAAGTTAAATGCAAAACATACAATAAAAGAGACTCAACTTATATTGTCTTAAGGTGATCATATTTTTTAAAGTCAAATCCGGGATGGCAATTTTTAGTTAAGCTAATCCGGGTGTTTGTCGTTTACATAAATGCTATTCAAGGATATAATAAAAAAGTTTTTTTTTAAATGAATTTTTGTTTTATCCTAATTGCGGACTTTTAGTAAGCTTTGTACTTCGACTATTATATGCAATACTTCTTTATCTATGATATTATATCTTATATTTTTCGATCTATATGTTCTATTAAATTTTCATCATAATTAATTTTAAAAAATTAGCGTCTGTATTTTATCTATTAATTTTCGAAAAACCGGGACATCCTGGACAAAAAATAAAATCCGGGACAAATATTGCTTTAAGAAAAACCCGGGATACAAGGTGGAAATCCGGGACTGTCCCGGCCAATCCGGGACGTATGGTCACCTTATTTGTCCTCATGTTCGATAGAATTAACTTCAATTCTGTCAGCTATAATATAAATTTATTTACTGAGGATTTATTATTCTGCGGTATTTAAACGGAACAAGCGTAAAGTCGTATGAATTGCCAGTTGGACATTTCTTTTCTTTTTTTTTCTTTTTTGTTGTTTTCGAGTATTATGATAATCTCCTTCTAACTATGCGCGGTTATGCGATGTACAACTATATTCTCTGTGAGAGAGTACAGTTAGCCTGAATAATCGCACATCTAATCGGCGAGTCCACAAGGCCGCTCGTCGCCACCGAAGCGTGGAAATTGCTCGGCGTAAGGCGGTAAAACTACTACTTCCACGGACAATAGAGACCCGTCTGATTGTCTGCAAGGAAATTAAACAGCGATTCTTAAAATTTACGATTCAATATCGACTTGTTTCACCGGAAAAATTAGAATGGTCGGGTGTAAAAATTTGCATATAGATGTAATAATC